TGATGGGTGCTGATGAGTTGATGGGTGCAGCACACCAACATGGCACAAGTACACATATGTAACAAACCTGCATGTTATGCATATGTACCCTAGAACTTTAAGTATAATAATAATAAAAAAAGAAAAAAGAGAAAAAAAAAAAAGACTAAGGGAGTCATGGTACCAACAACAAAATTAAGGGAATCAGAAGAAATTACTGTGGAGGAAATATGTTTTAGATGTTGAAGGAACAATGAAATGTAACATGAGCTAGGTTGAGGGCACTTAAGATTTATTATGGGAGGCAGGAGGGTCCATGGAGGCTCCAGAGACCTACCAGGGTTCAAATCCCAGTTCTACATGTATACTTAACTGGCCTTGTAACTGTGGGTAAGCCAGCAATGATTTCTAGCTCTTGTATAATATGCCACTAGGAAGTTATTCTTGGTAAATTATTTGGGGCACTATTAATTACAATGGGGGAAAATTAAATTTTTTAAAAAATTAAATTTGGGTGTTTGGTGCAGTTAAGCTTTGGGTATTGCTTCATATGTGTTATTTGGATACACACCCCAAACCACACACACATAGCCACATATACTAACTTTTAATGCTTTGCTTTGCTTTCAGGGATGAAGAATTTTCTGTGAGTTCAGTGTTGGCTTCTGATGTTATCCATGCAAGTCGAAAAGATATACCCTGTATCTTTAGGGTAAGTGTGTATACTATAATTTGATCACTGAATTATGTGTTTTTAATGAGTGTATTTTGCCTCTCTATATAAATCATAAATTCACTATAAGTAAAACTAAATCTTACATTCTTTTATATATTCCATGTCATCCAGTACTTGAGGGTATAGAAAATTGGTGCTAAATATTTAATTAGTGAAAGACCTGGAGAAAGCATCAATATATGGCTTATAAAATATGCTTCCTGGTAGATAATATTTTTTAGTTCCAATTCAGTTTTCAAATAAATACTACCAGATGGAAAATGAGATAAGTGTGAGGTTTCTCAAGTTTTTTAAAAAAATAAAAATGTCTGTCTTTAAAAATTAAAAATACTTACTGCTTCGTAACAGCCATTCCAAAACTTAGTAGCTTAAACCGACAATGATTTATTATTTTTCACTATTCTGTGGACCAGCTGTACAGTTCTTGTGGTGTCAGCTAGTGTCACTCATGTGACTGCATTCATCTCATTTGGGGCCAGAACATCTAATGACCTTGCTCTTACATCTGGGTGCTGGCTGTTAGCTGCGTGATCTCAGTTCTCCTCTTTGTGAACTCGCTCCATGTGGTCTGTGGTCATCAGGTAGGCTGGCTGAGCTCCCAGTGGCTGGCTTCTAAGAGAGCAAAAGAAACTACCAGACCCTTTGAGGACTAGGCCCAAAACAGGTATAATAACCCTTCTGCATTCTATTGGTCAAAGCAAGTCATGAGGTCAGCCCAGATTTAAGAGGAGGGGAGATAGACTCCACCTCTTGACGAGAAGAATGGAATTCCTTAGGAGGACTTGTTGGTAGCAATCTTTGGCGGCTATTGCCATGATGCAATCTTGAGTTGGTAAATTAAGACAACAGAGATTTAAAAAAAAAAAAAAAAAAAAAAACTACTGCCTAGTAGTTATACCTATCTCCCTATATTTCTCTGTGAACCTTGTATCTAAGGAAGGGCAGGCAAAGATTATACTTAGTCTCTTAGTTCCCAGACTGACAACTATTTATTTTCCTCCCAGCCACCAAGGGAGCCTACAGAGGCCCGCTTACTGATAACTGAGTTTCGTAGTGTGATTTTATTGTCACTGCTACTTAATAAGGAATTCTTTACTTATAATAAGGAATTCATATAGGTAAAATTTAAAACTGCTCTGATAGTGTTGTTTGTATAATGATAAACCTTCATTTAAATACTAATTTAAATTATCAAGTCTTAACGATGATGTGAGTTATTGTTGTGAAGTAACAGCGAATATATTTCTGAGCACTTCTGACTTCTTAAAACAAGTTGCAAGTCAGTATGGTGTGGTGCTTAGGAGCATGGGCACAAGATCCCAGATTTCTAGCTGTGTGTCCTTGGAGAAATGATTTAATTTCTTTGCATCACCATTTGTGTCATATATAATATAAGGATATAATGACAGTACATCCTATCTCATGACGATGTTAACAGAGTTAAATGAGTTAATACTTGTAATGTGCTTAGATCTACTCAGTGCTCAGTATTTACTCAATAAATGTCAGTTATTGTTGTTATATATGAGTGTATTTAATGCCTCTTTAGTGATAGTGTTCTGGCAATTTTATAGAAGGAAAATGAAAATGATACAAACATTTCAAATGATACCTGTCACCTTTGCTTTGTCATGTAATCTAGTGCTAAAGGTAATTATTCTGATTAGGAATAGCTAAACTCCAGTAACGGTATCATTTAATGAATGCTCATTTTATTGGTGAGTGCTAAGCAAACTAACATAATCATGAAACTAGCATAAAGGGTGTCTGTTTTCTAATGTCATGATTATTGATTAAATTGTTCTAGGTCACAGCTTCCCAGCTCTCAGCATCTAATAACAAATGTTCAATCCTGATGCTAGCAGACAGTGAGAATGAGAAGAGTAAGTGGGTGGGAGTGCTGAGTGAATTGCACAAGATTTTGAAGAAAAACAAATTCAGAGACCGCTCAGTCTATGTTCCCAAAGAGGCTTATGACAGCACTCTACCCCTCATTAAAACAACCCAGGCAGCCGCAATCATAGGTATGAATTTATAACATTTATCATATTATTATAATTGTTTACTAATCTACTTGCGAACAGGGATTGGCTTTCATCTAGGAATCCCCAGTGTCCAACATACTATGCATCGTATCACAAATGCTCAGTACATGTTTATTGAATGAATGAGACCTATATCAGATCTTTGTTTTTCAGTAAGCAGAAGTATAAGTACACTTTCAAAGTGCCTTTTTTTCCTGAAAAAACAACAGTGGTAAACATTAGCCTACCAATCTATTTTCTGCTTGTGTGATTTAGAACAAGTTAGTTTCTTAGAGTTTAGTATATAAAATATAGATGATAATTACCTTGCTGAGGTTATTGGGAAGTTTAAATAAGATGGAATACATAACACAGAGTGCCCTGCATAAAAGAAGTCCTCTTAACAAATGGCAGTTTCTGTGTCTGTAGGTTTAAATTTTTGCTGTTTTCCTGTGTATGCATCTAACTCTTTTGTTACTTTCCATGAATACTGAAAAGTTTAATGAGTACGGGTCAAATGCCATTCACAATTTTTACCTCCCAAAACAAGAAGTGTAGAACAACTTAGGTTTTTCATTTTGTTTCGTTTATTAAACATTTACTTATTTTTGTAGGTATTGATATGGATTATTCTTTAATAATTATTCTATTTTAGAAGACATGAGAGATTTACCAGTATAATCTGAAAGAAATAGTGTAAACTGTTATTGTAATTTATTTTATTTCCATTTTTTGCACCAAATGTTCTTAACATCTGGTTTATTAGCATTACATGGTTTTTTCCTAATAAAAATCTTTCATATTCATGTCTTACATAGATCATGAAAGAATTGCTTTGGGAAACGAAGAAGGGTTATTTGTTGTACATGTCACCAAAGATGGTAAGAGAAAACTTTTTTTTTTTTGAGTAATTTTCAATCATGTGTTAAAAAAAATTTTAACTCTAGATTCTAAATTCTACAAAGAGCAGGATTTGCTCTTATTTATCCTGTGACTAAAATTTTCCAGACCTAATTTGATATGTTTATAAATTAAAAGATTATTTTTAAATTTCTGTAGTCCCCCTGAGGTTTAAAACTTCAAATGTGTGTTGTCTTTCTTATATCATTTTATTTAACAGTTCTGTATGAACTCAGATTGCATTTCTTTTTTGTTTTATACGGAGTTTCGCTTTTGCTGCCTAGGCTGGAGTGCAGTGGCGTGATCTTGGCTCACTGCAACCTCCACCTCCCAGGTTCAAGCGATTCTCCTGCCTCAGCCTCCCAGTAGCTAGGATTACAGGCATGCACCACCATGCCCAGCTAAGTTTGTATTTTCAGTGGAAACGAGGTTTCTCCATGTCGGCCAGGTTGGTCTCGAACTCCCAACCTCAGGTGATCCAATCACCCACCTTGGCCTCCCAAACTGCTGGGATTACAGGCATGAGCCACCGCACCCAGCCCAGATTGCATTTCTAAAGATGGAACATGAAAAAAAAATAAACAACTTGATTTTCATATTGTTCTGTTAGTATCAAAAGAGACAACAGCTATTAAAATGTGTTTGTTTGGAGGTTTTTCTTCTAGGGAAAAACTAAATGCTGGGTGAAATAAAGAGAAACCAATATAACTTGGTATTCATAAATATAATATTCTAAGTTTTATCTTTATATCAACTTAGATCATGGGAAAACAGTGCATTCAAGACAATGCATTGTTACCCATATAAAAACTTCTGAAAAGTGAGTTCTCTGTTTTTAAAAACGGGAATCCCATGGTGATGTTCCCTAGAATTTAGTGCCAGTAAAAAAGTTTTCCTTGAGGATTTGACATACTTTTACACAAGAATCCTTTGGGGTTTGCCTTGGCTGCCAGAAATCTTAGGACTCAATACGTACTATAGGTGAGTTAAATTATCTTATGATGGGTTTGATTATCTTTTTTTCCTGTGACTTCTGATCTCTTATTCTTCCGTGTGTGCATCTGTAAGTTGACTTACATCCTTTTGAGTATAATTGGGATATGATGAATCAATAAAATTTTGATTTATTATTCTTTGTGTTTAGAAATTATTCGAGTTGGTGATAATAAGAAGATTCATCAGATTGAACTCATTCCAAATGATCAGCTTGTTGCTGTGATCTCAGGACGAAATCGTCATGTACGACTTTTTCCTCTGTCAGCATTGGATGGGCGAGAGACCGATTTTTACAAGCTGGCAGAAACTAAAGGGTGTCAAACCATAACTTCTGGAAAGGTGCGCCATGGAGCTCTCACATGCCTGTGTGTGGCTATGAAAAGGCAGGTCCTCTGTTATGAACTATTTCAGAGCAAGACTCGTCACAGAAAATTTAAGGAAATTCAAGTCCCATATAATGTCCAGTGGATGGCAATCTTCAGTGAACAACTCTGTGTGGGATTCCAGTCAGGATTTCTAAGATACCCTTTGAATGGAGAAGGAAGTCCATACAGTATGCTCCATTCAAATGACCATACACTATCATTTATTGCACATCAACCAATGGATGCTATCTGCGCAGTTGAGATCTCCAGTAAAGAATATCTGCTGTGTTTTAACAGCATTGGGATATATACTGACTGCCAGGGCCGAAGATCTAGACAACAGGAATTGATGTGGCCAGCAAATCCTTCCTCTTGTTGTAAGATTCTCTTTCTTATGACTGTCTTACATTTATGTCTCTTTCCTTCCTTTTCCCTTCCACTTCATCTCCCAAGTGTTGTCATTGTTAATAACAGTTTTTTCAAAAAGTCATTCTTAATGCTTTTCCTCAGTATTGATTATGTTGTTGATGTAAAAACCATACGTAATTAGGCCAGGGCAAACAGGGCCAGCATTAGCATGCACGTGATTTAAACAAAACATCTTTCTGTGGAATATTTCACTAAGATGGATTTTTTACCCCATGTCGTATTTTGAAATAACCCTAAATTGTTATCTAATGGTCCCCCAAAATATGGTGCTTGTAAGCATCAGTGTCTCACAGAACTTATTCTGGAGAAGTAGTTACCAAGTGAATTATTTAATCAGGTATGTAAAGGTATAATATAGCATCTATAAGAGGTGTTTTTCAGTTTTCCATTTTTATCTAGATGGGTAGATATTTATAATTGCTTATTTTACCCCTTCAAGAAATATGAAGATGTAATAAATTATTGAATACTTTTTTTTTTTTTTTGAGAGAGAGAGATGGAGTCTTCCTCTGTCATACAGGTTAGAGTACAGTGGTATCATCATAACCCACTGCAGCCTCCAACTCCTGGGCTGAAGCAATCCTCCTACTTTAGCCTCCCGAGTAGCTGGGACAACAGGTGCACACCACCACGCCCAGCTTGTTTTTACTTTTTGTTTTTGTAGAGATGATCTCATTAGTTGTTCAGGCTGGTCTCGATTTCTTGTCCTCAAGCAGTCCTCCCAACTTGGCCTCCCAAAGCACTGAGATTATAGGCTTGACTCACCACACCCAGCCTTATTGAATACTTTTAATTATGGAATACTTTGGTTATTGAATATTCCAATTATTATTGAATATGTGCCATTGAATATGAGTTACAGCAATGAGTAAAATAGATAACAGTCTTACCCCCACAGAGCATGGGTGCAGTGGAAAAGATTCGTGATAAAGCAAGTAGTTGCAGTAGAATGTAAGTGCTATGATAGCAGAAGTAGAGAGTTCTATAGAACCACATAGGAGAAGTATTTCATCCATACTGTTTTGTTTTTAATGAAAAATACTTGAGCATGTCAAAATGCTGAAGGGAAAAAAAACCCTAGGGAACTATGTGGAACAGTTGTCTATATGGGAAATAGAGTAAGACCGCCAAGAAGACCAGAGAGGACAAAATTCAGAAGACAGGTGCATGAATTACTTGGGGAAAGGAGGAGTAAAACCTCTTCATTTGTAACAAGATAGGAGGAGGAGTTATGGGTATGGGTCTAGTCAAGGTTAGAGGTTCATTGCAAGAAAGTTTGGCAGGACAATCCATGCTTATTACAGAAAAATCAGAAAGTCTGCATAAACAGGACAAAAGAAAAATACGTCTAGTTCTACCCATCCAGACTTATTTTTTCCCCACCCTCCATCCTGAGATGAAAGGTTTAACTATTTTTTCTTGTTATTGTTGTTGTTTTTGTCTTTCCAACTTTTCAACTGCAGATCTTGGGAATTAACTATTTTTAATATTTCTTCTGAAAAATACAGTCTTAGGTGGGCACAGTGGCTTACACCTGTAATCCTAGCACTTCAGGAGACTGAGGCAGGAGGATTGCTTGGGGCCAGAAGTTCTAAGCCAACCTGGGCAACATAGCGAGAACCTGTGTCTATAAAAAATTTTCTTTAATTAGCCAGGTGTAGTGGTTGCATGCCTGTTGTCCCAGCTACCCAGGAGGCCGAGGTGGGAGGATCACTTGAGCTATGATCATGCCACTTTTCTCCAGCCTAGGCAACACAATGAGACCTTATCTCTAAAAACACAAACCCACACACACTCTCACACTCTCTTTCTTATCAATAGAATAAATGCTGTTTTGTAACTGAGTCAGGTAATAATTATGATTATTCTAATGTAGAGTCAGAGTTGGAATGTCTGACTTTTTTGTATAGCTCTGCCAATAATTCCCTTTGTAACCTTAGTTTAAGTAAACCATTGAATCTTTCTTTGCTTGTGTTGATATTCATTTGTTGATATTCATTCTTTCAACAAGTATATATTGAGCATCTACCCTATTCATGTAACTATGCTACAGTGCTTTATTATACTTTCTTAACAGGGACTAGAACACTTACCTGGAGATTTCTCTACTTTCTAAGTTTGATTCACTGTCAATAACTTAACTACTTTTAGGAATCAAATACTTTAAATATAATGAAATTCCTTTATAGAACTCATGTTGGGCAGGGAAATAGTATACCCCTGGTGCTTACAAAATCCGTCTATATTATAATGGCTATATAATCTGACATTGGTGTGCCAGTTCTTCATTTACGATATAAGTTCTATTTGCTTCAAAAATATTTTGATTTGGCTACTATATGATAGCCACATAGGATTTGGGTGGGATTCCACTCTACAGTTATTTAGTGTAGACCTTTCAAAATATTTGGGGTTTAATAGTTAAAAGTAATCCACAAGCTGCCCCCTCCTTCTCTTCTCCCAGGTTACAATGCACCATATCTCTCGGTGTACAGTGAAAATGCAGTTGATATCTTTGATGTGAACTCCATGGAATGGATTCAGACTCTTCCTCTCAAAAAGGTAATTTAACATTAAAATGTTGGCTAAGCCAACTGAGTATAAGTGAAAACACTAAATTACTACATAGTAATTTTTTTTTTATTAACTCAGCATTTTGTGGCATGTGTAATTGGCAGTTTGGGACTTAGCTAAGAGTGAGAAAATAGAAACAGAAATAAAGTTGGTTAATTTCCTTAGGCCTAGCTAAAACCATACTAATTTTACTATATTTGGTTTATGCAAAGTATGATTGCTATTATTATGAACAACTAGAATATATCCTACAACCTAAAATAAAATGTCAGTGTTATCTTCCACTTTTGGATTAAGGAGCTCTGAGAGACTACACGATTATTATGAATTATAACTGTTATTCACCCAGTGTTTAATCTTGTGAGGACAGATTTAACAGGCTAGAAAAGTGGTTAAACTTAGCACCAAAACTGTTTAAGTGTCTCATAATTGAAAAATAAAGATTTCATATATTCCTAATAAAACGTAATATTTTTCTTAATTTATAATCCTATGTTTCCATAACACAGAGAATTTTTACAAGTATAGAACTGCTAGTTTGCAAAAATGAAGAGCAATAGTTTCATGTAGATAGAGATGTGATATATATATAGCATGTATGATTAGTTGGGGGACAGGGTTTAGAGAATACGTGAAAGTCGCTGAGATGATATTTCAAAATTAGCTCCCATTTAAAATCATAATGGCAGTTTAAAAAGCTCTTGTAAATACTGCCAGATTATCTGAAGCAACTAAAATATACTCTAGTTTGTAAATTTGGACTGGTCATTATTACTTTTCTGTGGGGTTTTTTTGTTGTTTTTTGTTTTGTTTTGTTTTTGTTTTTGTTTTTGAGACAGGGTCTCGCTGTGTCATCCAACCTGGAGTGCAGTGACATGATTTCGGCTCACTGCAGCCTCCGCCTCCTGGGTTCAAGCGATTCTCCCACCTCTGCCTCCCGAGTAGCTGGGACTACAGGTGTACACCACCATGCCCTGCTGATTTTTGTGTTTTTAGTAGAGACAGGGTTTCACCGTGTTGGCCAGGCTAGCCTCGAACCTCTGACCTCAAGTGATCCGCCTGCCTCTGACTCCCAAAGTGCTGGGATTACAGGCAGGAGCCACTGCACCCAGCCCTATTTGATTTTTATCATGTAATTTTTGCAATATATGTGAAAGAATAAATATATGGCCTTTGTGAGGGATAATAATAAACTGATCACTCATGAACCTACCTCCTAACCTGAGAATCAGAACATCACTCATATAACTGCAAACTGCATCATGTGCTTATCATTCCTTTGCTTTTCTTAAAATACAGAATTTTTGCATATTTAAGTATCCATAAATAATGTATCTTTCAGTTTTGCTTGGTTTTGAGTTTTATAAAAATGTTATAATATATAGTCATTTTCTATCTTGCTTTCTTCACTCATCCACCAAGTCTCATTCATTCATGTTGTTACATATACCGTAGTTTATTGCTTTTCAGTACTATAAAATATTCTGTTGCGTGAACTTATCTGTTCCCTGATGGGTAGACATTGAATTATTTACTGGCTTTTTGCAATTGTGATGTTGCTGCATATGTTTTTTGGAATAGTTTTCAGGAGTTTCAGTCATATACCTAGGAGCAGAATCAATGGGACATAGGGAGTTCAGTTATTCAGCTTTATGAGATAGTGTCATATTATTTTCCAAAGTAATTGTACCAACCAGTACTCCCATCAACAGCGTAAAGGAATTCTTATCCACATACTAGTACTTTCCATTGTCAGGATTCATAGGTTTTGTAAATGGTTACAAAGTAGTATTTCGTTGAAGTTTCAATTTGCATGTCCCTAACTAACTGTGTAGTTGAAAGTCTTTTGTATGTTTATTCATCATTCATATTTCCTCTTCCATGAAATGCCTGGTCATGCTTTTTGCTCATTTTGCTATTGGATTGGCCACATTTTTCCTATTTATTGGAATTCTTTATACATTGTGGATACTGGCTAATAATGGATATGTAAATCTTTTTCTTCTTTGTGACCTATTCATTCATTTGTATTTGGCTGAACAGAAGTTACTGATTTTAATGTAGTTAAATGTATCTTTCTTTTCCTGTATGTTTGTCTTTTTTCTCCTGTTTAAGAAACTCTTTCCTACCTTAAAGTCATAATATACATTCTATTTTCCTCCAAACATTTTACCTTTTTTTTTAATCTTTTTTAAATTTATATACCCAACCTCCAAACATTGTAAAGCTCAGCCTATTACATTTCTGTTTTTAATCCAATTGGAATTGATGCTTTTGTGTATGGTGTGAAGTAGAGATTTTATTTTATTGGTTCCATATAACCAGTTTTTCAATCACTATTTATTGACAGTCCCTCCTTTCCCCAGTGATCTACCCTTCCATCTCCATCATATCTATGCATTTAGTTTCTGATAGTAAGAATTCATAAATCAGCCATGTTGATATCTTCTTAGTATAACTGGTCATTAATGGCATTAAAATGTCTAAGGTTTAAATGTACTTCTGCTTATTTGTTCATTTGCCTAGGATAGCCTTCCTTTAAAATGTTATCATTGTAAGTTTGTTTGTTCAAATTAGATAGTATTATACCTTTCCAGTCAGAATTATTGTTGATTTTTCTGAGAGGGCTGTATTTTGAAGTAGATAAGCAAGAAGTCTTAATAAGGTGTACTTTATAAGCAGGACGTACGTTTTATAATTTAGTTTTTAAAGGTTTTGTCAAAATACTAATTTTGTTTTTTATTTTAGGTTCGACCCTTAAACAATGAAGGATCATTAAATCTTTTAGGGCTGGAGACCATTAGATTAATATATTTCAAAAATAAGATGGCAGGTAAGAAAATATATATATTCATAGGGATAGCTTCATTGGAAATATTATTTCTAAGCTACCTGCCCAAGGTCACATTAATAGTAAGTGTCGGAGTCCAGATTTCAACACAGGTATATCTTACTCCAAGTCTATGATGTTGGCCAGTCACATTCTTAATATATTAGAATAAATTACTAAGCAAAAAGTCATTCTGTTCAAGCTCGTGTAAGTATTTGATTCTAATGTACCTTGTTATTTTTCTGTGGAGTACCTGGGTAAGTAGAGAAAGTGTAGCTGATTATATCTTCTGTATTTTCAATATTGTAGAACCTAACCAAAATTTGTAACATTAAAATTATAAACACTCATCTAGAGTTGAGGAATGTGTCTTCAGGAACATATCGCCTGCCAGTGTACAGGGCCTAGCACTTCGGAAGTGGTGATGTCAGCATAGGAAGAAGCAGGAAAGAGAGGAGAGTCACGGGAGTGCCTGGAACCAGGAGAGGGAATGGAGACCCAGAGTGTTACAGACAGGAGGGGAGGATATTTGGTCAGTGACCAAAATATTGAGGTGAGACTGTCACACATGTTATTACATACCACACATAAAATGCCAGGGAGACTGCTCACATAGAATTAAATGTTGTTTGCCTGTCAGGGTGTCCAAACAGTTAAAGTCTCAGTTTTAACAAATATTATTATAGTACCCTCTTCTACATAATAAAGTCATTTTTGTGTCATAGCAGCAAATTTCTGTATAATAGAAGTATTTGTAAATTTCTGATCTGTTATGGCAGGTCTGTTAGCGAGGATGTATTTATGGTACATTATGTATTTAAAATAATTTTTTTTTTTGAGACAGAGTCTCACTCTGTTGCCCAGGCTATAGTGCAGTGGCACAATCTTGGCTCACTGCATCCTCCTCCTCCCGGGTTCAAGTGATCCTCCCACCTCAGCTTCCTGAGTAGCTAGGATTATGGGTGTGCACCACCACACTCAGCTAATCTTTTGTGTTTTTAGTAGAGACAATTTCACCATGTTGGCCAGGCTGGTCTTGAACTCCTGACCTCAAATGATCCACCTGCCTCAGCCTCCCAAAGTACTGGGATTATAAGCCTGAGCCATCACGCCCGGCCAGTATTTAAAATAATTTAAGTGGACAAATATAAGTAAAAATATTGGCTTCAAGAAAACACATTAAAACGTTTAGACCCATTATTTTGGGGTAGTGAATTTTTTTTTTTTTTTTTTTT